TGAAATTTAGAGAAGGAAGTGGTCACCCCAACTTGACTCACCCTTTTGTGTGCAATGCAGGGCTAAAGTTTAGAGAGGGAAGTGGCTATGCCAAGTTCACTCACCCTTTTGTGATGCAGGGGTAAATTGCCATTTCAACTTGACTGACCCTTTTGTGGGCCATGCAGGGGTAAAAATTAAAGAAGGATGTTGCCCTTCCAAGTTGACTCACCCTTTGGTGAGCCACCCGAGGGTAAAATTTAGAGAAGGATGTTGCCATTTCAACTTGACTCACGCACTCACTTTTGCCGATTTGATCTTGATACTCACACCCTGCCTCTACACTTTTCGAACAGGAGGCCGATTCTACCACTCGATGTGTCTTACTCCTGTACATAGATTTCCTGACTTTCGTTTGGCTCTGTATAATTCATTGCATGTCTTTTCCGAGCGCTCGTGGGGGGGAGGCGCTGCGCCCGCCCCCCCAACCCCCCTCCCGCGCAACGAAATCTGCAGATAGTATTCAACGTCCCTGCCATGAAATCAGGCTTTTAGTGGAACCTTGGTAAACCTTGCCCACCAAATCTGCAAATGCTATTCAAAAGTCTTGCGACGAAATCTGACTGTAAGCGGAACCTTGCCTGTTGAACATTAAAGCTGCTGTTATTCTAGACAAAAAAGCCAATCAGCCAGGAACCAACAACTTAGTATGACACACAGGAAGATTTGAGCGGAAACTTGACTTTTAAAAACTAAAGCTGCTGCTGCTGTAAAAAAGAGGCCAGAAAGCCAGGAAGAGACAGGAAACGTGATTTAATCCCCCTCCCCCAACCCGCCCCTGTGCCACAAGATTCCTGCCACGAATTTCGACTCTGAGCGGAAACTGCCTGTTAGCCAGGAGGCCAGGCAGGAGGAAAGAGATTAGTATACAGGCCGACGCCCAGCCCAAAGAGGGTTCGTGGTAGAATTATTTTTTTGATTAAGTAATTAGTTTTTTTTATTGATCCCCTTGAATAATTTTTTATTGATGCGATAAATAGTTTTTTTTTGATACTTCACCCGGTGCTCAGCGGGTGGAGATGGAATTCACATGGGCTTTTCTCGAATCGGCACGTCCTCCGCCCGAAACACCCAGCCACCATGGTATAACGACCTGGCAGTCGCTAAATTAGTGAGGCTAGTGCCACCAAAAAAGATAGGCCAACTTGGTTGCATGCCCTTGTTTATATCCTTGTTTGGGTGATCTGGTCATTCCAATCAAGCCACCTCCAAAAAAGGATCCTTCGTTTTGGTCCGTCAGTCATGGCTTTTGGAAATCCTGCCCAATTCCATGTGTCCCACTGGTGGGCATGAAAGGCATAACTTTCCCATTTTGATCCATTTTGACTTCAAGAGTTTGACCTGGTTTTGCTTATTTTTCCCGAACTGGGTGAACCCCCAAACCCGGGGAATCTGCTTTTCACCCGCTTCCTGGACAGCAAACGCAGACTGGTTTTGTGGCAGAAGTGGGTCGGGAACGAGATGGAGTTTCCCCCACCAATTCCACCCTCACCAACACCAAGCATGTCCGACTCAATGCTACCTACCCCCCTTTTTCCGAACGGAAAAGGTGCAGTTTTCACGCCGCTGGGCTGATCCAGGCTGAGCTTTCGACACGAACTTCGCCCGAAAAACCGACCACCGACTTCCAGGGCCAGTGACTGTGGCAGACTTCGAGGCACAGATCGAGCAACCTGCACCCGAGGCGTCATTGGCGGTGTGGCAGCTGGCATGAGGAAAGAAACACCCAGCAGAGTGACTGGAGACCTATCAGACCTTGATGGAGCAGCTTTAACGTTGAATCATGTTGAAGAATCATCGGTTAGGAAAACACATCTATATAATTCATTTCAGATGCTGGATAGGCCATGCAAGCCATGCAGATGGCTAAAACCTCAAGCCGCGGTTCCAGCAGATGCAGCAGCAGTCAGCTGGAAAAGAAAAACCCATTAACTGCTTTAGACACAATTCAAAGGTCAAGTCCTAAAGGAACGGTCTATAAAAGGGTCACCCATGGAAGTGAGACTCAAGCATCGTTCGAAGCATCAGGCCCCCGAAGCGGCCGAAGGGGAAGCAGCCGGTCCGGTCACAGACCTCTGACGAGTGAGGCGCCTTCATCGGCGTCTGGTGTTGTTGGTCCGTAGGGGCGTAGGGTGATGCTTGGACACCAGGAGCTGCTCTCAGTTTGTGGGCCGTAAGCTAGCGCATCAAGCCACAAATGAATGCTTGGTGTGATATATTTTTATTGCATATTTCTCGATCATTCCGGCAGACGGACTCAAGTGGGGCCCAGTGGTGTGTGTGTGTGTGTGTCAACCCCTGTGCCAAAGGGTTCACTGCCAACTTCTACCTTTTTCACAGCAGGGGGCCATCCCCCTCCCCAGTGGCGGATGGCCAACGAAGAGGCCACTGGGGGGGGGCTGCAAACGTACCTGCCGAACTGTTGTACAAGCTGTCACTCCACTCTTTCTTTGTTTGTTTCCATGGTGGTTCATGCTACTTCCCCTAAACCCTTTTCCCTCGGTTTCAGCTGCCGTCCGCCGCTCGTCCGCTGCTGTCGCGAGTCTGCAGATGCGCACAAACTATTTGTTGAAACACCTTCAATTGATCGGACTCCTCACCTTGCCGTTGAGCCATTCCTTTCCTCGGGGAATTGAGTTAACTGAATACAAGTGTCGAAGTGTGTTTCGCTCAGCCGTCCCACTCGGGTGCTGAGTGTGATCCCCGTCACTGGGGCGCCGTTTTGCATCGGAAATCACCCACCACAACATGCCACCTTTCACCGGATTTCCACTGGAAGTCATTGACACATCCATAGAATCAACTGATGCATTGGCCGCCGGGCCCAAACACGGCAGCTTCTTCTTCTTTCACTGAGTTACTGACTAGTTTTGCAAAGGGTTTTTGCATGATCCTCAAGCAGTGCGATTTGAGTTTTTTGAGCAGTTTAATTCGACGTGCATGAACTCACCACAACACTACATTCCTCCACACCATCAAGCATAAGCAGAACAAGCACAAACACAACGTCCATCACATCCTCCAGCACGGCAACAAGCACGAGCACATCCGCAACAGCAACCATCACATCCACCTCCTCCAGTTTCTCAATAACATCAAGCACAAGCAGAACAAGCACAAGCAGAACAAGCACAACCTCCAGTTTCTCCACAACAG